GGGCCGCGCCGCCTCCTCGGCCGCAGGCGCTGCTCCCTGGCCGCTGCCGGGGGAGCCCGCGCTGCCGAGGCTTGGCGGCGGCGCCTTAGCTGCGGCCGCGCCAGCGTAAACCGCTGCAATGACCTTCTGAGCTGCCTTACCCGAGTGGCTGAACTTGCAGTCCTTCTCGCTCTTGCTGCACGCACCCCGGAGGAACTGCAGGCAGAGCTGCGACTTGAGGCCGCCCTTGCCGCCGTCGTCCGAGCCCTTGCCCTTCTTGCCGTCCGCGCCCTTGCCCTTCGGCCCGGTAGCGTCCTTCTTGGTCCTCCGGGACTCGGCGATGGCAGCCCGGTCGTGCGAGAACCTGCAGGCGTCGCCACGCGCACACGTGCCGCTGTCCCTCATCTGGAAGCAGACCTTCACAGCACCCTCAGCGCCGGCGCCGCCGGAGCCGCCAACAGCGCCGACCTCGGGCGGCTCCTGATCGCCGCCACCGCCACCGCGCCGACGCCGGCCACCGCCGCCGCCCGGGCTGGGCGCGAAGTCCGAGCCCACAGCCGCGACGAGCGCCTTGGCCGAGCTCTCGGCCTCCTCCAGCTTCAGCAGCACGCGATGGGCCTCCCTCCAGGTCTCGACGCCGCGGACCTCGGGCTGGGCGCCAGAGCGCTGATACACTCGGCGATCCTTGAGCACCTCTGCACGGTGCGAGGGAGGGATGAGCGCCAGGTAGCTGAGCAGCAGGTCGCGATCGGACTTGCCCATCCCAGCCAGCCCCATCTCCGCCACGATGTTCTCGAACGTCGCCTGAAACTCCAGCGCGCTCATCTTGCCGCGGGAGAGCGTCCTCCACTCGGCGTTGAGCCGCTGCTGCTTCTCCAGCAAGCCCTCCTTGAACTCCATCAGCCGCTCCTTCAGGCTCTGGTACACCTCGTCGGGATCCGCCGACAGCCTGCCTGACCGGCGAGCCTGCTGCAGCTCGACCTTGTAAGCCCGCTGACGCGAGCCTTTCAGGCAGGTCCCCAGCACACGCACCATCTCCGTCGCCGACATCCCCGCACCGTCGTTGGCCAGCCCGACCATCTCCTCGAACTCCTCCACGAACGAGTCCACGTCGAAGTCGCCGTCGCCGAGCGTCGGCAGACTGTAGTGCGGCTTCACCTGGATCGTGGACGACTTCTTGTCGGCCCGCTGGCCGAGCGCCCCCGCGAGGCCCTGCAGCGCTGCCGCCAAGCTGGGCCCCGCCGGGCCCGCCTCGGTCGGCCCGCCCCGCGGGGGAAGCCCCGGCGGCAGGTCCTCGCCGAAGGCGGGGAAGGCGGGTGGCCCCGCGGGCGCCACGCCGACGCCGGCGGGCCCGGCGGGCGGGGCTCGGTCCTGCGGGGGCCGCGCCGGCGCCCCGCCGGCCACGGCGTCGCGAGCGCTGCCGCCGCCGCGCACCACCGCGAGGAGGTCCATCAGCGCCCGCACGTCCTCGTCGGCGTCGTCCGTCTCGACGTCCAGGACGGCGTGCAGCTTCGCCTCCAGCGCGGCCGCCACGCCCTCGCCGTGGGCCCGCGCCTCCACCAGGAAGCGGGCCTCCCTCATGCCGAACTCGACCGCGCCCTCCGGCACCGCCTGCCGCCGCAGCGTCAGCACAGCCCGCGCGCGCAGCAGGCGCCGCTCGAAGTCGCGCATCGACTCGTGCGGCTCCACGTCCTTGAGCAGCCGCTCCAGGACCTCGTCGTCCGTGAGCGGCCCCCAGCTGCCGTCCGACAGGGCTCCAGTGGCGTCGGAGCCCGCGTCGGACGCGCGCGCCGGCGAGTCCAGCAGCCGCAGGACGTCGTCGGCCGCCGGCGGCTGCGCAGCCGCTGGCGTCGCGGGGCTGCGCGCCGCGGCGGGGCCCTGCTGGCGCAGCCGCGCCTGCCAGTCCTGGCCGTGCAGCGCCTCCATGGTGCTCCGCCACAACGCGCTCTCGCTGGCCGCGATCGCGGGCGCAGTGCGAAGCCGGCGACCTGGGCCGGCGCGCCACTGCACCCAGGCGCCGAAGGCCAGCAGCGGCGGCTGCGCCACGGCACCGTCGGCGATCGCCTCCAGCAGCGAGCCCTCGAAGCCGGCGACCTCCACGCCAGCGCCGGCCGCCGCCGCTGCTGGGGCCGCGGCCGCCTGCGCCGACGGCGCGCCAGCCTCCGCGCCCGCCTCGACGTCGCCCGCGTCGGCGTCGCCCAGCTCCGCGCGAGGCGCGCGCTGGGGCGACGCCATCGCCCGGGCCCGGGCCCGCTCGGGAAACGATTTCCCGGAGCAGCCCCCACGTGAGGCTCACCTGGAGCCTCGGCCCCTCAGGGCCTCGAGAGCGGCCTCCAGGTGCCGCCCTCGGGCCCTATGGGCCCTCGCGGGCCCTCGGACCCCGGGTAGGCCCCCCGCGCCTCCCCCGCGCCTCTGAGGAGAGGGAGGAGGGGGGCCTTTCTCCTCTTGAGCCATGCGGCAGCGCGGGGCAAGCAGCCGTCGCCACCGGGGCCGTCGTCGCCGGCCCGCACTCCGCCGCCTGTGCGCCCATGCCGCTCCTCAAGTAGTCTTAGCCATCGTCGTCGCAGTAGAAGAAAAATTAGAATTAGACGTAGGCGTAGAGCAAAAAGAATAATCAGTAATTGTAGTCACAGTAGTCGTAGTAGTAGTAGTAGTAGTGGTGGTAGTAGTAGTAGTAGTAGTAGTAGTAGCAGTAGTAGTAGTAGTAGTAGTAGTAGAAGTAGTAGTAGCAATCGTCGTAGTTGTATTAGTTTGTAGTCTTAGTAATAATGGTAGTCGTTGTAGTAGTAATAGTAGCAGTAGTAGCAGTGGTGGTAGTAGTAGGGCACGTAGTAGTAGTAGCAGTAGTAGTAGTACTTGCAGTAGTAGTAGTAGAAGTAGTAGTAGTAGTAGTAGTAGTCGTCGTCGTCGTCGTCGTCGTCGTAGTAGTAGTCGTAGTAGTAATAGTGGTAGTAGTACGGGTAGTCGTTGTAGCAGTGGTAGTGGTAGGTGCAGTGGTAGTGGTAGTGGTAGTGGTAGTGGTAGTGGGAGTAGTAGTAGTGGTAGTGGTGATAGTAGTAGTAGGAGTAGTAGTAATAGTCGTAGTCGTAGTCGCAGTCGTGGTAAAAGTGTTCGTAGGATTCGTAGTTGTAGTAGTAGTCGTCGTCGTAGCAGTGGTAGTGGTAGTCGTAATAGTAGTAATCGTGGTAGTGATAGTAGTAGTTGGAAGCAGTAGTAGTCGTAGTAGTAGTAGCGGTAGTAGGAGCGGTAGTAGTAGTAGTCGTAGTAGTAGTAGTAGTAGTAGTAGTAGTCGTAGTAGTAGTTGCAGTAGTAGTGCTAGTAGCAGTCGCAGTAGTAGTAGTAGTAGTAGTAGTAGTAGTAGTAGTAGTAGTAATAGTCGTAGTAGTAGTAGTAGTAGTAGCAGTAGTAGTAGTAGTAGTAGTACTAGTAATAGTCGTAGTAGTGGTCGTCGCAGTAGTAGTCGCCGAAGTAGTAGTAGTCGTAGTAGTCGTAGTAGTAGTAGTAGTAGTAGTAGTAGTAGTAGTAGTAGTAGTAGTAGTAGAGTAGTAGTAGTAGTAGTAGTAGTAGTAGTAGTAGTAGTAGTGGTGGTAGTAGTAGTAGTGGAAGTAGTAGTATAATCGTAGTAGTAGTAGTAGTAGTAGTAGTAGTAGTAGTAATAGTAGTATAGTAGTAATATAGTATTGGTGGTAGTAGTAGTAGTAGTAGTAGTAGTTAATAGTAGTGTAGTAGTTAGTAGCAGTAGTAGTAGTAGTAGTAGTAGTAGTAGTAGTAGTAGTAACTAGTATAGTAGTAGTACTAGTTAGTAGTAGTAGTAGTAACTTATTCGTAACTAGTAGTAGAAGAAGAATTAGTAGTAGTAGTAGTAGTAGTAGGAGTAGTATTAGTAGCAGTAGTAGTACGATTAGTAGTAGTAGTAGTAGTAGCAGTAGTATTAGTAGTAGTAGTAGTAGTAGTAGAAGTAGTAGTAGTAGCAATAGTAGTAGTAGTAGTAGTAGTAGTAGTAGTAATAGTAGGCGTGGTAGTAGTAGTAGTAGTACTAGTAGTAGTAGTAGTAGTAGTAGTAGTAGCAGTAGTAGTAGTAGTAGTAGCAGCAGTAGTAGTAGTAGTAGTAGGAGTAGTAGTAGTAGTAGTGGTAGTAGTAGTCGTAGTAATAATAATAATAATAGTAGTAGTAGTAGTAGTAGTAGAAGTAGTGGTGGTAGTCGTAGCAGTCGTAGCAGTCGTAGTCGCAGTTGTATTCGTAGTCGTAGTCGTAGTCGGATTTGTAGTCCAAGTTGTCGACGAATGCGAGGAGGAGAAGGAGGAGGGGGAGGTGGAAGAGGAAGGCTTTTTCATGTTGCATGTTCCGTATGTTCTTTTGTTGAAGTCCTCATGGAGGTCATGTATGAGGGTTGTGCAGGGCTCATGTAGGGCAGTCTTAAAGGCCCCTTGGGGCTCTCTTGGGCCGTCTTGGGGCTCTCTTGCGCCCTCTTGGGCTTTGAGACTCTTGGTGGCTTTGGTCGCCTTTTTCGGCCGTCTTGGTAGCTCCGTGACCCCCAGCGAGACGGCAAACCCAACCAAGATGTCCCATATCAGTCTTCCGTACCCAACTTGGTTCAAGTTGGCGAATTCCCGGCCTCGCAGAGGAGTATTACACATGATATCCTTAGCCTCCCAGATTTTCTACATCCAGGAGGTTTCCCAGGAGATCAGACATCAGGGACAGAGCTGTCCCCGGTCTACCTTGCGGCGCCCCACAGGCGCGGACCGCGCTTTCTTTGACAGGTTGCGGCCACCCTATCTGGTGGGCGGCCGCGCTGCTCCGCTGTCCAGCATGGCGCCAGGCCCGCCGGACGGCCGCGCCGTGGGTGCCAGGCCATCTCCAGCAGGATGCGGCCGCGCACGGCGGCGCGCCCACAGGCCGTCAGCTGCGGGCTGGAGGCAAGCCTGACGCCTTGCACGCCCCGTCCGAGGAGTGGATCACGTACCAGGGCCGCGCCTCACACTTGCAGATCGGAGCCAACGTTCCGCTGCAGGTGAAGATGTGGTCCGAGGGCGGAGTCACGCAGGGCTTTGAGTGCATGCTGGGGGTGTACGGCGACGTCTGCGAGGAGGGGATCATTAGGGACGTCAAGGCATTTGCGCTGCGTTCCGACCTTGGCATCCACATGTGCTTCTGCGCGAGCGAGGGCGCGGACGTCCTGTTGTCGGGGGGGTTGGTCTACAACCAGGAGCAGGGTGGTTCGTTCCAGCTCTGGCGCTGCGCTGCCGTTCGGCGCCACCAAACCGTCCCGGCTATCCGCGGTGCCAGGTGCACCGGCGGTCCGCAACGGCCGCCGTCTCAATTCGAGCTGCGAGTCTCAGGCAATCGCGGTCAAGGACGGCGCGCGTTCTTCAGAGGGGACGAAGGAAGTCATTAGCTGCATCCAGCAGCTGATCGAGACAGTCGCTGTCGTTTTGGAGCTCCATCCCAGAGGGCTAGACCTGTCCGAGCTGAAGACCACCGTTCACAACCACACTGGCCTGTGGGTCAGCGAGGCACTCCTGGGCTGCAGGAAGCTGGTCCACTTCATGAGGTACCCGGAGATGGGGCAGGTGTGCGTCCTGAGAAGCCGAGGCAGCTCCACCCTCGTGCTCGGCTGCAGAGCGCCGCGCGGGGGCAGCGTCGGCTCTGCCGCCCGCGCGCACTCCGCCCGTGCGCCTCGAGCTCGCGAGGCAGGCAGACGAGCAGGGCGGGCCTGCCGAGGGGAGGCGCTGCCGAGGCCGGCGCCGAGAGAGCAGCGGCCCCCGCACGGGCAGCCGTCCATGTGGCTGTAGGCGTGCCGCAATCTGTCGCCGACCAGTCGCTACCGTGACCGATGATGATGATGATGATGATGATGATGATGATGATGATGATGATGATGATGATGATGATGAGGATGAGGATGAGGATGAGGATGAGGATGAGGATGAGGATGAGGATGAGGATGAGGATGGGAGGATGAGGATGAGATGAGGATGAGGATGATGAGGATGAGGATGAGGATGGAGAGGTGGATGAGGATGAGGATGAGGATGAGGATGAGGATGAGGATGAGGAAGGATGAGATGAGGATGAGGATGAGGATGAGGATGAGGATGAGGTGAGGATGAGGATGAGGATGAGGATGAGATGGATGATGATGATGATGATGAGGATGATGATGATGATGATGATGATGATGATGATGATGAGGATGATGATGATGATGATGATGATGATGATGATGATGATGATGATGATGATGATGATGATGATGATGATGATGATGATTACTCTCGCAACGTTGAGAGATCGCTCCTGGCCAGTCTTGCCCTTTCCGCGCGCTGCGGAGGAAGCAAGACTGTCGGGCGTTCTGAACTGTTTGTGCGCTCTGGCGCGAGCCGCCCTTAACCCTGCCCGAGCGCCGGGTCAGAGGCATGATGTGAGTGTCCGGCATGTTGCTAGCATTCCGTGCCGTCTGTGATGGACAGCCAGTTGGGCCTGGAGGGTTTCTCCGAAGGGCCTAGGCGACCCGTCCTCCTCCTCCTCCTCCTCCTCCTCCTGTCGGTCGGCCTGTCTCGAGCGTGCAAGAGGGCTGGGACGGGGTCGGCGGGAGCTGGGAGTGGGGGGGACGGAGCTATCGCGTCGATGCTCGAGCTGGCTCGAAGGGGCCTGCATCCCAAGACGGGCGAGCCCCTCGAGCCGCTCGTCTTCTCGGAGCTCGGGGTGCCTGCGATGCCGCAGCAGGCGCCCGAGCCCGAGGCACCTGACTAGTGGGCGGAAGTGCTGGCGGGGGGCGCGGTGCGAGTGGGGACTGCCCGGCGTTGCGCCGTTAGTGACCCTCGCACCGTTGCTCCCCAGCCCCGCGCACGGAAGGAGCAGATCCGCTGCACTTAAGGGCCCCTTAAGTGCAGCGGGCTGTCTTGGCCTCCATCGCGTCGATGCTCGAGCTGGCTCGAAGGGGCCTGCATCCCAAGGCGGGCGAGCCCCTCGAGCCGCTTGTTTTCTCGGAGCTCGGGGTGCCTGCGATGCTCAGCAGGCGCCCGAGCCCGAGGCACCTGAATAGTGGGCGGGTGCGGGCGGGGGGCGCGGTGCGAGTGGGGACTGCCCGGCGTTGCGCCGTTAGTGACCCTCGCACCGTTGCTCCCCTGCCCCGCGCACGGCGCGCGCCCCTTGTTGGATGAGGGCCCTCTCTCGGAGGCGTGTTCGTGAGCGCCCCTTGTTGGATGAGGGCCCTCTCTCGTTCTTTTTTTCGAGGCGTGTTCGTGATTCACCTGCACGCTCTCGGCACTGTCCTCACTGTCCTCCTCCTCCTCCTCCTCCTCCTCCTCCTCCTCCTCCTCCTCCTCTCCTCCTCCTCACTCCTCCCTCCTTCTTCCTCCTCCTCCTCCTCCTCCGCATTCTCCTCCTCCTTTCTCCTCCTCCCCTCCTCCTCCTCCTCCTCCTCATCCTCCTCCTCATCATCATCATCAGCATCATCATCATCATCATCATCATCTCCTCCTCCTCCTCCCTCCTCCTCCTCCTCCTCCTCCTCGAGTCGCCTACGGCCCCCGGGGAGAACCCTACAGTTGGGCCTGCGAAGGCTTGAGCCTTCTAGGCTTGGACGGGAGTGGAGGGATGGAAAGGGTAGAGTCTGGGGGGGGGCGGCGGCGGAGGTCGAACACGGCTTGCGCGAGCGAGCCCTCTGAGATGGGGTTGCGTGGGCGCCCAAGAGTTAAGTCGGGCCTGTTCTTCTGCAGGAGAAATTTTCAAACATAGACAATAGTCTGGAGACGATTGTTTGAGTATTTTTGCATACTTTTGGGTTATTTGTAATTTTTCGCCCCACATCCCCCTGTAGGGGGACATGCCCGACCTAACGCAAGGCTCTCGTGGCGCTTGCGCTTGGCGTGCGTCGACGGCCGGCAGAGGTTGCCTTGAGGGAGCCTGTGGAAAGACCGCCCTCCTCGAATCTGGCCCACTCTTTGCTCGCCGTCTGGCAGGACTGGATCAGAGTGCAGCCAGGGGCTTCTCATGAGCAGCGGGCTCTGCACGCGTGCACCTGAGCTTGGGTTCCCCCAAATTCAGGAGGGAAAAAACACACAGACACAATGAATCGTCGATTCCCCAGAACATATGGGAACATATGGGAAGTGGTGGGGAAGACAAAAACCCAGAAACATATGGGAAAATATGGGGAGTAGTTTTATTTGTGTGTATTTATGTGTGTGTCCTGGGGCCCCTTCACAAATACGGTTCCAACCGTACCTACGTGAGGCTGCCCCGCGAGCCGCGCGCGCAAGTTTGGCGACGCTGCGAGCAGGGGGCAGCAAGAACATGGCGAGCCAGAGAGCACTGCCGAGCCTCGCCGTGTACATCTTGAGCTGACGTCTGGAACGCCTGCGTTGGCAAGGAGGTAGTCCGAGCGTTGTGTGCCTACGTATTGTAGTGGCCTCCGGCCAGTGCCGCCGATCCGGGGCGCTCCGGGTGCCTGTGGAAATGAACGACGACGAGGAAGACGAAAACGACGACGAAAACGAATACATCGGACGACAACGACCACGACGACGACGACGACGACGACGACGACGGCGATGACGACGACGACGGCGGCGACGACGACGACGACGACGACGACGACGACGACGACGACGACGACGACGACGACGACGACGACGACGACGACGACGATGGGGGGAGCTGTGTGTAGGGGGGGGGTCTGCTTGCAGGGGGGTCCGCTCGGCAGAGGGAGGGACTGCAAGGGAGAGGGGGGGTCCGCTCTGCAGGGGGGGGGCTGCAGGAGGAGGGGTCTGCTCTGCAGGGGGTGGGGGGGTGCAGGGGAGGGGGGGTCCGCTCTGCAGGGGGGCGGGGCTGCACGGGAGGGGGTCCGCTCTGCAGGGGGAAGGGGGTGGCTGAGCTGCAGGGGGGGAGGTGTCCGCTCTGCAGGGTGACGGGGTGCAGGAGGGGAGGTCTGCTCTGCAGGGGGGAGGGGGCAGAGGAGGGGAGGGGGGTTCGTTCTGCAGGGGGAGAGCTGCAGGGGGGAGGTCCGCTCTGCAGGGGGGGGTCCGCTCTGCAGGGGAGGGGGTGCAGGGAGGGGGGGGGAGGGTCTGCTCTGCAGGGGGGGGGGGGGGGGGGCTGCAGGGGGGGGGTCCGCTCTGCAGGGGGGGGGACTGGGCGGCAGGAGGGGGGAGGGAGGGCGCTTTGCAGGGGGGGGGGGTCGCTCTGGAGGGTGGGGGGTGCGAAGCACTGAAAATAGGTCGGAAATGAGGTCCCCCCCCCCCTGCGAAGCACTGAATTAGGTCGGAAATGAGGTCCCCCTCCCCCCGCAGAGCGAAGCTTGAGCGAGCTCAAGCCCACGCTCTCAGAAACTCACACGCCGGATCGGCGGATTTGCTCTGCAACTTTTTCATGTTGCAGCATGGTTTCGTTGCTGAGGTAAGGGCGCCTGTAGATCCTCATGTTCCTCACTCTCGTATCGCGTGCGTGCGGAGATCATTTCGTTCTTACCCATGTCCTCTTTTGGGGTCGTCTCACCTGTCTACTCTTGACCCGTGGCCTCGTGTCCTGCACTGTAGCTATGGCTGGTGTTCTGAGATGGCTATGGAATCTCGCCTCAGACGCGGGCCTGGGGCTTGCGCTCCGTCGCCAATCGATGTGTGCTGCTGCATTTTTCTACGGCCAGCGCTCTCGCGGCTTCGTTGCCAACACGATTTTTGTTTATGGTTGTGGTCGAGGCTGGGCGAGAAGCGCGGAGAGCACGTGCGCACATAAGCCAGTTCCTCGAATCAGAGCTTGCACCAGGAAGCCAGAGCGCCTCCTTTCTTCCCAACCATGCTGGGGTTTTGGGTACTCGTTTTGAAGAGAGCGCGAGAGAGAAAAAGAGAGAGAGAGAGAGAGAGACAGAGCGCCCCGCATTCTCCCGCCTCCTCCCAATCCTCCCTCCTCCCTATCCGCGAACCTGCTCTCCGCCCAGCACAGCGCTTCGTGGCCCCATACGGACCTCCGCCGAAGGTCCCAGTGGCGGAACTCGCATGCGTTTCTTGCGCCCACTGCAGCGCTTCGTGGCCCCATAGGGAGCTCCACCGAAGGTCCCAGTGGCGGAACTCGCATGTCCTGCGCACAGTGCGGCGCTTCGTGGCCCCATAGGGAGCTCCACCGAATGCCCCAGTGGTGGAACTCGCATGCGTTTCTTGCGCCCAGCACAGCGCTTCGTGGCCTCATAGGCAGCTCCACAAAAGGTCCCAGTGGCAGAGCTCACATGCGTTTCCTGCGCCCAATATAGCGCTTCGTGACCCCGTAGGGTGCTCCACCGAAGGTCTCAATGGCAGAGCTCGCATGCGGTTTCTGCGCCCAGACACGTTTCGTGGCCCCATAGGGAACTCCACCGAATGCCCCTGTGGCACCGCCCGCATGCGTCACCCCCACCCAGTACAGCGCCCCGTGGCCACAGGAGGAGCTCCACCGCAGGCCCCGGTGGCACCGCCCGAATGCGTCACCCCCACTCAGTACAGCGCTTCGCGGCCCCATAAGGAGCTCCACCGAAGGCCCCAGTGGCTGCATTTGCATGCGGTTCCCCCGCCCAGCACAGCGTTTCGTGCCCCCACAGGGAGCTCCAAATTATGCTGCAGTGGCGGTGTTCGCATGCGTCACCCCCACCTAGTACAGTGATTCGTGGCCCCATAGGGAGCTCCACTAAAGGCCCCAGAGGCGGTGTTCGCATGCGCTCCCCCCGCCCAGCTTAGCGCTTCGTGACCCCGTGGGGAGCTCACCGAAGGCCCCAGTGGCTGCATCCGCATGCGGTTCCTGCGCCCAGTGCAGCGT